AACACCCTGCTGACATCAATGGATAGATCCTCTAGACAAAAAATTAGCAAGAAAACAGAGACTCTAAATGAAGCACTAGACCAAATTTATTTCATAGATATCTACAGAGAATTACACCCCAAAACTACAGAATTCACATTCTTCTCAAGTGCACATGGGACATTCTCAAAAATAGACCACATGTTAGGGCACAAACTAAGTCTCTATAAGTTCAAGAAGATTGAAATCATGTCAAGCATCTTCTCAGATCACAATGGCATGAAACTAGAAATCAATTGCAAGAAGAACATACAAAAACATTTGAACACATGGAGGGTAAATAGCATGTTAGTAAACAATGAATGGGTTACCAAGAAGATCAAGGAAGAAATTAAAAACGTTCTTGAAACCAATGAAAATGAACACACAACACAAAATTTATGGGATGCAGCGAAAGCAGTTCTGAGAGGGAAGTTCACAGCACTACAGGCCTACCTCAAGAAACAAGAAAAATGTCTAACAGACTATCTAACCTCACAACTTAAAGAATAATAGAGAGCAAACAAAAAGAAAACCCCAGAGCAGGTAGAAGGAAGGAAATAGTAAAGATCAGAGCAGAAATAAATGACATAGAGACCAAAAAAAAAACAACAATTCAAAGGATGAAGGAAATAAAGAGCTGGTTTTTCGAAAAGATAAACAAGATTGATGGATCCTTAGCTAGACTCACCAAGAAACAAAGAGAGAGAACCCAATTACACAAAATCAGAAACAAAAGAGGAGAGTAACAACTGACACCACAGAAATACAAAAGATCGTTAACAACTACTAGGAACAATTATATGGCAAAAAATTCGACAACCTAAGCGAAATGGACAAATTTCTAGAAACACAGTCTCCCAAAACTGGATCGGGAAGAGAGACAAAACTTGAACAGACCAATAACAACTAAGGAAATTGAAGAGGTAATCAAGACTCTCCCAGCAAACAAAAGCCCAGGCCCAGATGGCTTCACGGGGGAGTTTTACCAAACATTCAAAGGAGAAATAACACCCATTCTCCTAAAACTATTTCAAAAAATTCAAGAAGAAGAAAGACTTCCAAACTTGTTTTATGAGGCCAGCATAATTTTAATTCCAATACCAGAAAAAGACACTACAAAGAAAAAAAACTACAGGCCAATATCCCTGATGAACACAGATGCCAAAATCCTGAACAAAATACTAGCAAATCAGATCCAGCGATACAGCAAAATAATTACTCACCATGACCAAATGGGATTCATCCCAGGGATGCAAGGCTGGTACAATATTCACAAATCAATAAATGTGATACACTACATAAATGAAAGAAGAATAAAAGCACTAAAGAGACAGCTCTCCAAACAGGACATACAAATGGCTAAGAGACATATGAAGAAATGCTCAACATCACTAATCATCAGAGAGATGCAAATTAAAATGACTATGAGGTATTACCTCACACCTGCCAGAATGGCCACCATCAACAAATCATCAAACAACAAGTGTTGGTGAGGGTGTGGAGAAAAGGGGACTCTAGTACACTGCTGGTGAGAATGCAGATTGGTGCAGCCACTATGGAAAACAATATGGTGTTACCTCAAAAAATTAAAAACTGAATTGCCATTTGACCCAGTGATCCCACTTCTAGGAATATACCCTAAGAAGCCTGAAACACAAATCAGAAAGAATATATGTACCCCTATGTTCATAGCAGTACTATTTACGATAGCTAAGATCTGTAAACAGCCCAAGTGTCCATCAGTAGATGAATGGATAAAAAAGCTGTGGTACATATACACAATGGAGTACTTTGCAGCTGTAAGAAAGATCTCTTATCCTTTGAGATGACATGGAGGGACCTGGAAAGTATCATTCTAAATGAAACAAGCCATGCAGAAAAAGACAAATACCACATGATCTCACTTATTTGTGGAATATAATGAACATAATAGTCTGAGTAATAAGGTAGACCCAGAGATGTGGAAGTAGGGTACAGACTGACAACCCTCAGAAGAGGGAGTGGTGGGGGAGGGAAGAGATAAACCACAGAACTTATGTGCATGTACAAGTGACCAATGGACACAGACAATAGAGCTGGGATGGGGTGGGGGAGATGGGGAGGAGGGTGTCAATGGGGAAAAAAGGAGAAACATCTGTAAGAGAAATAAAATAAAATAATAATAAAAATAAATGGATAATATTGATGGCAAGATTAAGGATAAAAACATTTTACCCCAGCCAGTTTGGCTCAGCAGTTAGACCATCAGACTCGAACCGAAGTGTCATAGTTCGACTTCCGGCGAAGGGCATGTACCTGGGTTGCAGGTTTGATCCCTGGTCCCTGTGGGGGTCATGCGGGAGGCAACCAATTATGTGTCTCTCTCACATGGATGTTTTTTTTTCTCTCTCTCTAACTCCCTTTCACTGTATCTAAGAAAAATTAGTGAAAAGAATACCCTTGGGTGAAGATTAATAAAAAAAAAAAGGAAACATTCTGAGGAAATGAAAGATGGGGAGTGTATCCACTGCAAGCTATATAGGTCTGTATGGCAGGTTGAAAGAATGGGACTAAGACAGAAATTAAATACACAGCCAAGAGTAAAATGCATTAAAGTAGGAACTCATCATATTCAAGATATAGTCTCTGACTTAACTATGGAACAGATTTCCACAGATATGTTGCCTGAATCCTGGAGTTCTCTTGTACTCATTCTTTATAGCTAAATGTTTCTCTTTCATTAGGAATCTGGTAAGAAGAGACTCTATCTGCAAATTACATCAATGGTGGATTTAAAAAAAAAAAATCATGCACAAAAGACATTTGATAAAAACTCCAAGACACACTTCTGATAAAAATTGTAAACTCTAGAGATCAAACCCTATTCCTTATTATTTCACCGTACACAACAGAAATGAATGAAGCACATCCATGAAAGACAGGAACAAAATGTCCTGGCTGGTTCAGCTTAGTGGTTAAAATGTTGGCCTGCAGACCAAAGAGTCTCGGTTTCAACTTTTGGTCAAGGGTATGTACCTGGGTTGCAGGTTCGATCCCCAGCCCAGTCGGGGTCGTGCAGGAAGCAATCAATGATGTCTCTCTCTCACATCAATGTTATTTCCGCTCTCTCTCCCTCCTTCCCTTCCACTCTATCTAAAAGAAAAAATGTCCTTGAGTGAGGACTAACAACAACAAAAAAGCTCCGGCCAGTTTTGCTCAGTGGTTAGAGTATCAGACCTGAAACCAAAGAGTTGCAGGTTTGATTCTGGTCAAGGGCACGTACCTCAGTTGTGGTTCGTTCCCCGGCCCCGGTCGGGGTCATGCGGGAGGCAGCCAATCGATGTGTCTCTTTCATGTCAATGTTTCTCTCTCTCTCTGTCGCTCCCTCCCACTCTATCTGAAGATAAATGAAAAAGTATCCTTGGATGAAGATTAAAAAAAAAAACAGGAACAAAATATTATCCCTATTCTTATTTAATATTGTGCTAGAGGTTCTGACCAATGCAGTAAGAATAAAATGGTCATAAAAGGCACAATTTTTTTAAAAAAGAAGAAGAAATTAAGGTATAGTGCATAAGAATAAAGAGGTCAACACTAAGTAGACTCAGGTTGAGATCCCTGTTTCACACTTATTGGAAATGTGACTTCATCTAATTGTTTTATCTTTTCTACGTCTGCTTTGTAAAGCTGTAAAGATTAAACAAAGCAATACACATGCAGTGGTTATGATGTTCCTGGCATACAATAAACAATAGGAATTATTACTATAATGTATATCATGACTACTTGCCAATGACATAGTCCCATGCTACAAGCCCATAAAATTAACTGAAAATTGGCAAAGTAGGTAAATTCATTGCATTAGAGATTAGCGAACAAACAAAACAAAAACCTCAATAATTTCTCTAAATATCAGCAACATTCTGTCATAAAAAGAAACATATAAATACAGAAATGGAATTTAAACGACCAAGAAATAACTTTTAGCCCTGGCCGGTTTGGCTTAGCGGTTAGAGCGTCAGCCTGCGGTCCACAGAGACCCGGGTTCGGTTCCCGCTAAGGGCATGTACCTTGGCTGCAGTTTGTCCCTGGCCCTGGTTGGGTCGTGTGAGTGGCGGCCACTCGATGTGTCCCTTTCACATCGATGTTTCTCTCTCTTCCTCTCTCTCCTTCCCGCTCTGAGTAAAAAATGGAAAAATGTCCTCGGGTGAGGATAAAAAAAAGAAATAACTTTTACAAGTATAACAAGTATGAGTTAAAAATGATCCAAATTGCGTAAGAGATATAAAAGAAAAAATGAGTAATGGAGACATATAATATGCTCCTGGATAAATGTTATTATAAACATATCAGTTCTTCTTAATCTAATTTGTAGGTTTAAGGTAATACTGATCAAAATTTCAACAGGATTAAAAAAATTACCCTAAAATATATCTGATAAAGAAAAAGGAACAAATAACTAAGTACAACATATGTGAAAAGAAATGAGGGACAAACTCTACTAGAAATTAAAATATATTCTAAATCCATAATTACTACTACAATGTGGTACTGGCAAAACAGACAGAAGAATGGAGCAGAAGTATGACACATATATACTATAGATTCATTCTCTTGTATAGATAAGGATTTAACATATCTTAAAGGTAGTGTTATAAATCAGTGGTGGAAGGAAGGTGTAGCCATTATATGATGCTGGGACTTTGATTACTTATTTGACAATAATAAAATAAATAAATAAATAAATAAATAAATAAATAAATAAATAAATAAATAAATTAGCGTCTCATCTCAAATCAAACACAAAAATAACTTCATCCTTAAATATGAAAAAGAGAGAGTAATAGGCAGAACAGCAGGGTAGAAGGGAGAGGGAGAACTAATGAGAATTCAAAATTAGACAAAAATAGAGTTACAAAAGTATAATGCTGACATACTACCCAGTAAGAGATACCAGGATATTAGCACGACCAGGATTAGAAATAGGAGCTAAATCTTACATGCTCCTCCCACACTTTCTTTTCTCTCTCATATGCTTCCTTTCTCTTTCGTTCCAATTGTTCTTTTAGTACAGCAGCACGTGCACTTGCTTGGGCCTGAAAATAAAAATGACAAAATAGTTGCCAGAGAGAAAAGCATAGGTTGTTTTTCCCCCAGGTCTATAAAGTTATTTAATTATTACCCAGAAAAGAAATGTGTGTGTGTGCGCGCCTGTGTGCCTGCATTGTATTCCAGAATAAAAATGTAAGATCACTCTAAAGTCCCAGCACCTAAACCACAGCTCAACAAACAGTACTGCTTAATAAGTGTCTAATGAATGAAAATGAATGCAGGTACAGCTAATGGAAATACAAACATAAAATTTTTAAACTATAATTATTATACACAAACTTCATTTTTCTTCACAGAAATGAACAATTATATTTTTAAGGTTACCATTTTATTCTTTTTAAGGTTAGTTGTATGATAGTTTCACATACTTATGCCACAGTTTCATCAACTGTTCTCCATAAATATGATATATAGAGTGAAAATGTAGTATTTTTCAGAAACTGAAAAGTGAGGAATAAAGGAGAAAGAAAAATTAAGGCAAGAGAATACAGTGACTGAACTGTAAAAGACTTAACAACACAATTCTCTATCTGAGATTTCAATTTTCTCTGAGTAAACCATTTCTAGTCCATACCTTAAGAGCTTCAACTTTTTTACGCCTCATGTCAGCCTCCTCACTTCCTTGTCCTTCAGAAATGTCAGCTTCTTTCTGTAAAACAGATAAGCAAACCACTTAAGATAGACCCTCAAATTCAGAGAGGAAGAGAATATGAATAAATCTGAAACCTGTATCATTTTGTTAACCAGTGTCATCCCAATAAATTCAATAATAAGAAAAAAATATGTAAAATGGTTAATTGTTCAATGTTACTAATTTTTTCTTACTGCATATTAACTCTTCAAAACTATCAACTCTACAGAAAATGAGGAAAAAGATAAAAAGATAATGGTAGAAAATGTACCATTTTATATGTCCATGGGTACTACTTACATTTTCCTCTTAGAGTTCCTCTGCAACAAATAAATCTTACCAATTTTAAATAAAATTTTCTTTAACCTCATGTAGTTTTCTGCTCAATTTTTAAAAACTCTTTATTGTTGAAAGTATTACATATGTTCCCTCTTTTTTCCCCCATTGACACCCTCCTCCCCTTTCTCACCCCCTTCCTCCTTTCCCCAAACTGTTGTCTGTGTCCATTGGTTATGCTTATGTGCATATAAGTTCTTTGGTTTGCCCCCCACCCTACCCTTCCAACCGCATTCCCTCTAAGGTATGTCAGTCTGTTCTCTACTACTATGTCTCTGGATCTATTTTGATCGACAGCTTATTTTGTTCATGATATTCCAAAAATAAGTGAGATCATGTAGTACTTGTCTTTCTCTGACTGGCTTATTTCGCTCAGTATAATACTCTCCAGGTCCCTCCATGTCATCTCAAAAGGTAAGAGATCTTTCTTTTTTTACAACTGCATAGTATTTCATTGTGTAAATGTACCACAAGTTTTTATCCACTCACTTGGGCTGTTTCTAGATCATAGCAATTGTAAATAGGCTGCTATGAACATAGGGGTGCATATATTCTTCCTGATTGGTGTTTCAGGCTTCATAGGATATATTCCTAGAAGTGGGATCACTGAGTCAAATGGAAGTTCCATTTTTAACTTTTTTGAAGAAACTCCACATTGTTTTCTCTAGTGGCTGTACCAGTCTGCATTCCTACCTGCAGTGTACTAGAGTCCCCTTTTCTGTCCAGCCTCTCCAGCACTTGTTTGAAGATTTGTTGATGGCAGCCATTCTGACAGTTTTGTGAGATGATATCTCATAGTTGTTTTAATTCACATCTCTCTGATGATTAGTGATGTTGAATATTTTTTCATATGTCTCTTGGCCATTTGTATGTCCTGTTTGAAGAAGTGTCCTCTTTGCATTTTTTAAGTGGGTTGTTTGTCTTCTTTTTGTTGAGTTGTATGTTTCTATATATTTTGGATATTAACCCCTTTATCCAATGTATCACTGGCAAACATGTTCTCCCAGAGAGTGGGTTCCCTTTTCATTTTGATACTGGTTTCTTTTGCCGTGCTGAAGCTTTTTGGTTTTATGTAGTCCCGTGTATTAATTTTTTCCTGTTTCTCTTGCCCTAGGTGATGTATCGGTGAAAATTCTGCTACATATGATATCTGAGATATTTCTGTCTACATTTTCTTTTCTGATTTTTATAGTTTCAAGAGCTGTATTTAAATCTTTTATCCATCTTGAGTTTATTCTTGTGTATGGTATAAGTTGGTGGTCTAGAATCATTTTTTTGCATGTACCTGTTCAATTTTCCCAATGACATTTATTGAAGATAGTCTTTAGTCCATTGTATGCACTTGCCACCTTTGTTGAGTATCAATTGTGCATAATGTCTTGGGTTGATGATTTCTGGGTTCTCTATATGCCTGTTCTTGTGCCAGTACCAGGCTGTTTTGATTATAGTGGCTTTGTAGTATAAGTTGATATCTGGTATTGTGATCCCTCCAATTTTGTTCTTTTTCGAGATTGTTGTGGCTATTTAGGGTCTTTTTTGGTTCCATATAAACTTTTGGAGTATTTTTCTAGATCTGTGAAATATGCCAGTGGTATTTTAGTGGGGATAGCATTGAATCTATCAATTGGTTTGGGTAGTATGGGTATTTTAATGATGTTAATTCTTCTAATCCGTGAACATGGTATATACTTTCACTTTTTAATATCTTCCTCTATTTCTTTTTTCAATGCTCTGTAGTTTTCTGAGAACGGGTCTTTTACCTCCTTGGTTAAGTTTATTCCTAGGTATCTTACTTTTTTGTTGTTACAATGGTAAATGAAATTGTTTTGTTTTGTTTTTAGTTTCCCTTTCTGAATGTTCATTATTGGTGTATAAGAATGCCATCGATTTCTTGATGTTAATTTTGTATCCTGCTACTTTGCCAAATTCACTAATTAAATTTAGTAGAATTCTGATGGAGCCTTTAGTTTTTGTTTTGTTTTTTTAATCCTCACCCAAGGATATTCTTCTCAAATATCTTCAGATAGAGTGGGAGGGGGGAGAGAGAGAGAAATATCAATGTGAAAGGGACACATCTATGGCTGCCTCCTGTACGACCCCAACCAGGGCCGGGGACGAACCAAAACCAAGGTACATGCCCATGGCTGGAATCAAACCTAGGACTCTTTGGTCCGCGGGCTGATGCTCCACCACTGAGCCAAACTGGCCAGGGCCTGATGGAGTCTTTGTAGTTTCTAAGTACAATATCATGTCATCTATGAAAGACAGTTTCACTTCTTCCTTTCTAATTTGGATGCCTTTTATTTTTTCTTCTTGTCTAATTACTGTGGCTAAGACTTCCAGTACTACATTGAATAAGAGTGGCGAAAGTGGGCATCCTGTCTTGTTCCTCTTAAGGGAAATGCTTTTTGTTTTTGCCCATTAAGTATGATATTTGCTGTAGGTTTTTCATACATGGACTTTGTTACGTTGAGATATTATCCCTCTATTCCCACTTTGCTGAGCATTCTTATCAGAAATAGGTGCTTAATTTTGTCCCATGCTTTTCAGCATCTATTGATAGGATCCGTATGATTTTTATATTTCATTTTGTTTATGTGGTGTATAACATTTATTGATTTCCGAATACTGTACCAGTCTTGCATCTCTGGGATGAATCCCACTTGGTCATGCTGAATAATTGTTTCAATATATTGCTGGATCCAATTTGCTATTTTGTTGAGGATTTTGGCATCTATGTTCATCAGGGATACTAGCCTGTAGTTTTATTTTCTTTGTAGTGTCTTTATCTGGTTTTGGAATTAGGATTATGCTGGCCTCCAAAAAAGAGCTTGGAAGTCTTCCTTCTTCTTGAATTTTTTTGGAATAGTTTGAGAAGAACAGGTGTTAGTTTTTCTCTGAACATTTGGTAAAACTCCCCTGTGAAGCTGTCCAGACCCAGGTATTTATTTGCTGGGAATTTATTGATTACTGCTTCAATTTCCTTAGTTGTTATTGGTCTAAGTTTTCTATCTCTTCCTGGTTCAGATTTATTTATTTATTTATTTATTTATTTATTTATTTATTTAATCCTCACCCGAGGACATTTTTGCATTTTGTGTTCAGACAGAGCGGGAGAGAGAGAGAGGAAGAGAGAGAGAGAGAGAAACATCGATGCGAAGGGACACATCGAGTGGTTGCCACCTGCACGACCAACCAGGGCCGGGGACAAACTGCAACCGAGGTACGTGCCCTTAGCGGGAACCGAACCCGGGTCTCTCTGTACCACAGGCCGACGCTCTAACAGCTGAGCCAAACCGGCCAGGGCAAAATCTCTCTTTTTTTTTTTATTTTTATTTTATTTTTTATCCTCACCCGAGGACATTTTTCGATATTTTGTTCAGATAGAGTGAGAGGGAGAGAGAGAGAGAGAAGCATCGATGTGAAAGCGACACATCGAGTGGTTGCCACCCACACGACCCAACCAGGGCTGGGGACAAACTGCAACCAAGGTACGTGCCCTTAGCGGGAACCAAACCCGGGTCTCTCCGGACTGCAGGCCAACGCTCTAACCGCTGAGCCAAACCGGCCAGGGCTTCCTGGTTCAGTTTTAGAAGACTGTGTGATTCTAGGAATTTGTCCACTTCGCCTTGATTGGGCAATTTGTTGGCATATAATTGTTCATAGTATTTTCTAACAATCCTTTGTATTTCTGTGGTGTCTGTTGTTACTTCTCTTTCGTTTCTGATTTTGTTTATTTGGGTCCTCTGTTTCTTGGTGAGTCTGGCTAAAGGTTCATCAATCTTGTTTACCGTATCAAAGAACCAGCTCTTGGTTTCATTGATCATTTGAATTGATTTTTAGTCTGTATATCATTTATTTCCAATCTGACCTTTTTCATTCCTTTCCTTCTACTTGCTGTGGGTTTTTCTTTTTGTTCACTTTATAGTTCTTTAAGTTGTAGGGTTACTCTTTAAGAAATTGTTATTTTTTCTTGAGGCAGGCCTGTAATGCTATGAACTTCCCTGCTTTCACTGTGTGCCATAGATTTTGTGTTGTTGTGTGTTCATTTTCATTGATTTCCAGGAAGTTTTTAATTTCTTCCTTGATCTCCTTGGTAACACATTAATTGTTTCATATCATGTTATTTAGTGTCCAAATGTTTAAGTGTTTTTATTGTAATTAATTAGAAGTTTAATGCCATTGTGATCTGAGAACGTTTCATATGATTTCAATCTTCTTGGACTTGTATAGACTTAGTTTGTGTTCTAGCACGTGGTCTATCTTTGAGAAGATCCTGTGTGCACTTAAGAATGTGTATTCTGAAGTTTTGGGGTGTAATTCTCTGAAAATATCTATTAAATCTATCTGATCTAGTGTATCATTTAGGATCTGTTTCCTTGTTAATTTTTTGTCTAGAGGATCTATCCAGTGATGTCAGTGGGGTGTTAAAGTCCCCTACTATGATTATATTACTGTTGATTTCTCCCTTAAAGTCCTCCAAAAGTTTTTAAATATATTTTGGTACTCGTACATTGGGGCATATATGTTTACTGAGATTATACCTCTTGTTGGATTGATTCTTTTAATATTATGTAGTAGCCTTCTTTATCTCTTGTTATGGCCTTCATTTTGAAGTCTATTTTATCAGATATAAGTATTGCTACCATATATATATATATATATATATATATTTTTTTTTTTTTTTTTTTCATTTCCATTTGCTTGGAAAATTTTTTTCCATCTCTTCACTTTCAAACTCTTCACAAACAAACTTTGTTGTTAGGTGGGTTTCTTGTAAACAACATATACATGGGTCATGCTTTCTTATCCATGCAGCTACTCTGTCTTTTGTTTGAAGCATTTACTCCAAATACATTTAAGGTTATTATTGATATGTACTTATTTATTGTCATTTTTACTTATTATGCCTATGTTTCTCTCTCTATTTCTTTTGTTTATTACAGCAGTCTCTTTAACATTTCTTAGAATGCTGGTTTGGTGGTAATATAATCCCTCAGCCTTTTTTGGGGCGGGGCGGGGGGGTGTTGGGAAGCTCTTTATTTTACCTTCTATTTTGAATGATAGCCTTGGTGGATAGAATTGTCTTGGATTCAGATCCTAGTTTTTCATTACCTTGAATACTTCATGCCATTTCCTCTGGCCTGTAGTGTTTCTGTTGAGAAATCTGACAGCCTTATGGGAGCTCCTTTGTAGGCAATCTGTTGCTTTTCTCTTGCTGCCTTTAACATTCTCTCTTTGTCTTTAATTTTGGCATTTTAATTATATGTCTTGGTATGAGCTTCTTTAGGTTCTACTTGCCTTGGGGTCTCTGTGCTTCCTGAACTTGTATGCCTTTTTCCTTCACCAAGTTAGGGAATGTTTCTGCCACTATTTTTCCAAATAGATTCTCTAACCCTTGCTCATGTTCTTCTTCTGGTACTATCATGCTAATATTGTCAGGTTCCATGTCCCACAGCTCTCTTAAAATGTCCTCCTGTTTTTTCTTTTTGTTTCTCTGACTGATTTTTTTTTCTCTATCTTGTCTTCTAATTCATTGATCCGATCCTTGGCTTCCTCTAATATGCTGATTATTCCTTCCAATGTGTTCTTTATTTCTGCTGTCCTTCTTCATTTCCAACTGATCATTTTTCATTGTTTCCATATCTTTTCTCATGCTGTTGAGTATCCTCAAAATCATTACTCTGAGCTCTATATCTGATAGCTTGCTTCTTTCCATTTCATTTAGTCCCTCCTCTGGAGAATTCTCTTCTTTCATTTGAGATTTGTTTCTTTGTTTCACCATTTTGGTTGTCTAAGAAAGGTTTGGAACCTGCCAAAATCTCCCTGTGGGTATCCATGTTCTTAAATTTGTGGCTCTCTCTGGTGGGTTTGAATGTTTGTGGAAGAGACCAAGATAAACAACAATGTCTAATCTTACTCTCCTAGGTACAGCCTAATTTTTTGGTCTGTGACTTTCCCTGTCTTATTCAGATTTTATTTTGTGTTAGTGCACAGCATTTTTAATCTTAATCTATTATAATGTCATTCAATTATTTTTTTAACAATTGATTTTCAACCTGCCTTTTCACCACGAAGTTTGGCTCTAATCTGTTGGCGTTCATTAAAATTCTGCAATCTTATTTGTCTTAGCCTTGCAAGATAAACCTACAAGGAAGAAAAAAACACAACATTTTAATTTAAAAGAAAATCTACCAATGTTTTTTACTGCTAAATCATTTTTAACTTAAAGAAAACGGTTAATCTGAATACCAGAAATGAAAGTTTTAAAATCTGGTTAATGAAAATATAGTATCAACTTTCAAATTTTTAATTTAGATCAACTTATTACTGAAAAGAAATACACTGTAATTATAAATTTTTAATTTTATCAAAAGAAAAGAAATTGAACTCAGAATACCAAATAACAGTTATGGGGCAAAGTTATGACAGTATGTCATTCAAAAAAATATTAACAGGTCCCTACAGACCTACAAAACCCTCAAATAATTGGTAAGCACTTAAACCATGCAGGAAAGGGAGGCAATAAACTAAAAAATGGCTGTGTGACGGAGGTAGCGAACATGCAGGAAGCATACCTCTTCCTCTTTGTTTCTTGGTTTCCCTCCTCTTGAAGAGCTGGACCTGCCTCCATACATAGCTGCCAGGTTTTGCAGGATTCCCTGTTCATCATTTAATGTACTAAGTTTAAAGAATGACTAAGGCTACATCAGCATCTTACCTAGGAATATCCATGTGTCATTGTATTTCTTTTGGCTAAAACTGATCATTTACTTCTAGCTGATAAACTGAAAACAAATGGTGTTTTCCTGTATCAATGTAACCAATAACTTCAATGACAACAGGAGGAAGCAATTAAACCCCATATATAATTATTTGAAACAGAGACCAGCTATGTTTTTATGAGCCATATAAGTAAACATGTTTTAAAACTGCTTTGGAGGTTAGCTAAACCCCAAATCAAAAATTTCCTCTATGAAGGGCCAATCATTTCTACATGTTTGTTTACATACTAAATACACAGAGTACAAAATATCTGAGCTTAAAGTCTTTGCACTCAGGCATGTATTATTACTATCCTACAAATGATCATACTCAATCACAAATTAGTTCATTTCTTAACCTAGCTTATCATAAACATAATATTTATCTTATTAGAAATTACTATCCTTCAATAAAAGTATTAGATTGTTGAATTATCCATTTCCTCTTTCTTCATTTTTTTAATCCTTACCCAAGGACATTTTCTTACATTTATCTTCAGGTTTGGGGGGGAGAGGCGGGGAGAAGAGAGAGAAAGAAATATCGATGTGAGAGAGACACATCAACTGGTTGCTACCCACACAGCCCTATCAGGGCTGGGTACAAACTGCAACCGAGGTATGTGCCCTTAGTGGGAACCGAACCCAGGACTCTCCAGTTCTCAGGCCAATGCTCTAAACACTGAGCCAAACCAGCCAGGGCCATTTCCTCTTCCTTCAGCACACAACTATGCTTCATGTTCCTCTTAATTTAAAAATACCCTTAATCCCACTTCCCCATCTAAAGCATTTAAAAAAAAAATGCTTTTATTGATATTCTAGAGAAAGAGGAAGGGAGAGAGAGATAGAAACATCGATGTGAGAGAGAAACATCAATTGGCTGCCTCCTGCCAGCCCCTTACTGGGGATTGAGCCTGCATCCTGGGCATGTGTCCTGACCAGGAATCAAATAGAGATCTCTCAGTCGTTGAAATGATGCTCAATCCACTGAGTCACAATGGCTGGGCTCTAATGCCTTTTTATGAACTGGAAAGTGTACTTTTTATGTTCATCACCCCCATTTTCCTTCTTGCCATTTATTTTTTAATCCATTACAATCTGTTTTCTGATCCCACTACAAATGAAAATTTTCTAAGGTTACTAATGACCTCTAGTTCACAATTCAAATGGACCCTCTTGAGCAAATTTTGAAATTAATATTTCCAAATATTACTTTGGACTAAATTTACTAACTTTACATAAGTATTCTTTTCTCTCATAAAAATCATTTATGTTCACTGCATAAAATGGATAAAATGAAGAGAATAGAAATCATTCATAATTCTATCATCTGAGAGTCTAAGTTTAAGAATATTACTTTCCGATTTTCCTTCTATGCATATGCATGAATATATACACATTTATTTTTACAAAATTGGAACTTTACTGTATTTTTATTTTTTTCACTTAATATTAATTAACATTAATATTCAGAGCCTCTTTCTACATTCAAATCCTTAAAAATACTATTAACTGACTACATAACGGTCATAATATTCCACTAAATAGTGAATTATAATTTACAAAAAAGACCTCTCTTTTCTTTCAGTATTTAAAATAGCACTCTCTCCTGAGATCTTCCAATCTTCACCATTTTTCACGGGCTTTTCTCTTCCTTGGCTCATTGCTAATGTCAATATTTTCTAGAGATTCACTCTCTGGCCTTCCTTTTCTTCTTATTCCCAGCATTTAACATATGTTGTCAATTCCCAAATCTAAACCAACTTCACAGTCCTTTTCTCATGAACTTCTGTGTATATACAACTGACATCTGGACAACTCCTCTCTTATGTAGCAAAGCTTCCTCAAATAATTTATAGACCTGAATTCATTATTCTTTTTACTACTTGATCTTATTCCTATCTCAGTTATCGATCACAGTCAGACACCCAAGTCAGAAAGCTAGGAGTTATCTCTCTCTTTCATCTGCCAAACACAAATGACTACCAAATTACTAATTCTACCTCCCAATAACCCATAATTTATCCCTAGTTTCTGCCTCAACTCAGGCTCTCTTCTTTTGACTCCTTGATTTCCAGAAAAGCCTCCTAACTTATCATCTTATCTCTGGTCTCAACCCACCCACTCCCCTGTCTAGTCTCTACAATGCAGTAAGAATAACATTTCTAACAATCCCTTTCCACTGAGCCCCATATAAATCCTTCAACAGTTCCCATTATCTTCAGAACATATTACACATTCTGCTGAATGGCAAATAAGGCATCTCTAATCTCATCTCTGCCACTGCTCAATCATAAAGCCTACATTTTAGCCATGACAACTACTTGTGGTTTGTGGATTATGATCTCCTCATCTTCTTAAGATGGCTAATTCATCTTCTAAAATGCAAACCAAACACCTCATCGTGGAAGGCCTTGCAAGGCCTCCTTCAGTGAGTTAAGTGTGACCTAGAATACCACTTTTTATACAGACCTCCTGCAGTAGCACTATCAGAGTGGCAGAAGGGTAGTATACTGGGACAGTTAAGAACATGGACTATGACAGATTGAAGTCTGTCAGTTCACGGATTTGCCACCTAAGTTCTGTTGACCTTCAGCAAAAGTAATTAAACTTGCTGTAAGACTAGCATAATAATACCACCTATTTCATAGGTGTGCCAGAACAAAAGTATAATTATATGAGCATGTTCTGCTTTTCTCCTCTTCCAGCCTGAAAAGAGGCTTCCAACCACTCAGTTTCCTCTCCTCTTCAAGATCTTGGCATTAGCTTATCAGTTACTTGAGCTTTTGGGATACAGATCAGAGAGTGGGGGAGGTAAGGGAAAACAAGGAATAGGCAGGGCTAGTCAAAAATATGAGGTGAACTCTGAAAAGATGCATGAGAATATCTACAGAGTTACAGGAGAGTGGGTGGCTATAGATTTTATCTTCCCTTCATGGTATTTGAAAAATACAAGTAAAAAAAATATATATGAGTTACTATGAAGTAATCTTTTTTAACATTTTAGTTTGAAATATTAAAGGTGAAAAGTACAGGAATGTCTGTACATCTTTCATCCAGCCTCTCCCATTTTATCATCTTGCATAACTATAGTACACAATCGAAAACAGGCAACTGGCACTGGTGCAAACCACAGAGCTTTGTTTCAGCAGTTATACATGCACACATCTGTGTACCTGTATCAATGCAGTTTTATCACACCTATAGCTTTGTGTAACCACCACCATAATCAAGATATTAACTGTACGATTACTATAACACTTCATAGCCTTATTATTCGCTACTCCCACCCCTAACACTCATCAACTATTAATTTGTTCTCCATCTCTATAATTATATTTCACAAGTTTTATATATATGGAATCATACAGTATGTATCCTTTTGAGACTGACTGTTTTTACTCAGTATTATTTCCTCGCGGTCCACTCTCGAGAACATATAGAGAAAGGAAAATTTATATTCATTTAGAAACTTGTACTTGAGTGTTCTTAGCAACTTTACTCTCAATAGCAAAGAACTTGAAACTATGCAGATGTACTAAAGTGGATGAATGAACAAATTATGCTATATTCATACCATGATTATAATATTTAGCAGTAAAATGAATCACTCAAGTCTTTCTTGTTAGAGTTCCCTAACAAATTTTATATATATATATATATATATATATACACACACACATATACAAATACATATACATATATATTAATTTATCCAAACATGGAAAGTTTCCCTAATATATATATATATATATATATATATATTTAAATTTATTGAAACATGGAAAGTTTTGAATTCCTACACAAGCATATGAAGTAACTTGAAAAGCCATGGTATCTTTAAATTATGATTCAACCTAAAAATAATTTAAGTTCCAAATGCTTATTCATAGGTCAGAGACTTTGATTTTATTTGTCATTGAAACAATGTTATGATTCATTAGGATTTCCTAAAGCAGTTAAAATGAATTGATCAAATGATTCAACTACAGTAGTTTTCCAATTTCATAGCATTAATCTTTAAGATCCGGTAAGATCCAGAACGTAATCTTAACTGTTTAGGTTTATTTATAATGTGATTTTTTTAAGCATTAAAAAATGCACATTGGATTTAAGACATACATCTGTCACAATCTCTTTAAGACTGCTTCTCTTCGTCAGCAAAAGAGAGATTTTGTGAGTGGCTGTAAGGATAAGCCACAATGTAAATGTACATACATTTTCAAACTACACAAATACATCATGAGTATTAATAAGTATCAATGAAAATATATTATGTGCTGTCTTACATTACTGTTGATATCTTTTTCTTTAAGAATCAGGGTTATTATTTTAAATATTCATCACTGTAGTGTGTTATAGGTACAGTTATTATACAAAGATCTC